ATATAACATATATATAATCATATAGGCCTATATAAAGTAAATATGTTGAATTTCGTTGAAGTACATTATATTTTCAACTTCAGATTTGTATCGAAATATCAGTCTTTCAACACAACTAAAACAGTTATTTGAATACCTTGAGCCAAAAACAAGTAAAAGGTAAATCACAATGGATACTACTAAATGCTCCTTTTTTTAAACATTATCAAGTCATATTTCGCAAAGGGCTAACAATCTTCTAAGCTCAAGAATAGTTTGCGGTACGTGTGTGTTTGGTGTGTTGTTGGATGTGTATGTGTGTGGTGGGGGGGGGGGGAGTGGTGAGTGCATAGTGTGTGCTAAGGTTCACACATCAATAAATTTACATTTTAAACAGAAAATTACATGCAACATGTTATATTCAACAATATCACTCAACATACAGTACATATTGTGTCATAGGCCTAAAACATCAACAGTAGTAGAAGGGGCATCAAATTACATATTACGATGACTCCTGCCTAATTTTTAGTAGGCGGCCTGCAGGCCAAATTGGCGAAAATTACATGCAACATATAACATACAACAATATCACTCAACATACAGTACCGGTACATATTGTGTCATAGGCCTAAAACATCAACAGTAGTAGAAGGGGCATCAAATTACATATTACGATGACTCCTACCTGATTTTTAGCGGCCTGCAGGCCAAATTGGCTAAAATATCTTCAATAACTACGGTTTTTTAAAATTAAAACTTTAGATTCAGACGATGATATACGCAATGTAGTATATACTTTGGCTGCCTTTAAGACGAATGGCGACAAAGCAGTGAAATTTCCAACTTTCATTATGTGTAAATATATATTTTTTTAATAAAAGTGGCCTATATGAAATTTGTTTACAATATTAATTAAATCTTACATGATATATTTTCCAAATTTTGACATGTGTGTTCGTGTTAGGTAACCCAATATATATGTTTGAAGAATCAATATTAAGGCCATAATACACTTCAATGCACATACTGTATTCAGAATAACAATACCCAGTTAACAACTGAAACTCAAACATCAATGAATCATGAAAAAGAGCGAATTTTGCTGAAAGGAAGATGGCGTTGCTGGTCGTAAATAATAATGTATTTGACGAAATTATCAATATTATTATATACAGCTCAATAATATTTAAAATTCTACAAATTAAAAGCAGATCACTTCATGCATGTACCAATATAACATAATAAAATATAACATACCGGTAACAACATAAAAAATAATTTAGTTTCTTAGATATAATTGTTTAATTTAATGTGAATAATACTACTCGAGTTCTATATTATAATCATCTTAATAATAATAGTAATAATATAACAATAACAAATATAATAAATATTGTTGATAATAGTAATAAAAATATATGCTGTGTTCAGTAAAGAAAAAATGTTTTCATCATAATTATAGAAAATTCGCATTTTTCATGGTACACGTCATGATATGAGGTTTTAATTTAAGCACCGTAGTTTCTTACACTTACACGCCTAAATTACAATTCCAAATATACATATGTCTAAACTATTTTATGATTACTTTTTCGTATCTGAGCTTTTCAAATATTATTAAATGATTATTGTAAATGATTCTTATATCAACAAAGGTGATTTATCTAGCATACATGGTCATTTGGGACTCCGCTTTCCGAGTCGGCTGATATTAAATAAATGCAATTTTCATAGCACTAATATCCATTTTAAAGACCATACTCAGGGCGCCTGACAAAAAAAAACTCAGGGCGCCTGAAAAAAAAAAAAAAAAAAAAAAAGAAGAACAGCAGAAACGTGTGCAAATTGTCTTTCTTTCACTGTGAGAAACACACCGTAGTTATAGCAGGATTTTAACCCAGGACTCGGTGATTGGAAGGCGAGCATCTTCAACACCAAACCACAGTTGTTGGAAGGGTGGGGCATTGTAACAGACGCAATTGCCTTGTAATAACAAACTCTCACGATCTCGATGACTATTGTTTGGCTATGAAATCGCGTATGTGTTGCTCTCGTATTAGAATATTAATTTAAGAAGGCCTACCAACCAATCACATCCGTTCATCATTGTTGTGTAAATTATTAATGTTATGATAATGAGAGTAAGACGTACGATTTTATATGACTCATCAGTTGAATACTTATTGGCGTGGTATTTACCAAGAAACAACATCGAGTAATATAAACAAATGCTTACTCCAGAAAATGTACCGCAAAGCAAACGGCATTATATACAATATAAATCCTAATAAAATAAATAATGATAAATAGTAATAATAATAGTAATAATTATTATTATATATATATATATATAATTGCATACATATATATATATTTATATATATAAATATATTTGTATAACATTGTATTGTATTATATTGTATTGTTTCCAATATTCTTTTGTTTTGTTATATATATATATATATATATATATATAAATCAAGATAGCCGTTAACACTGTTA